TATATTAATTTAAAAACAAACCGCACCTCCACGAACTTAGAATCTAGCTAGATATATATATATATATATATATATATTCTATTTTGATTATAGCACTAATGGATGTATGATTTCTAATATCCTCACAGTTTTCTTCAACACTTCTTCTTTTGAGATGCTTCCAAACATAGGAGAACTTATGGATTAAAAATACAATGAGGAGTTAATCACATGGGCCATGGGCCTTGGTTGGGGGATGTTTCTATTTTAGTTTCATGCATAGACCCAATAAATAAATGGGAAGTAGGTGCCTAGAGGTAGAGCACTCCCACACCAAGACGAAGTCATCTCTACCTAAACTAATCCTAAATAAACAAACGTTTAATGTGCATTAATTTTATATTTCCCTGACATTGTGCTTGTTCAATTATGGGCTATGTGGGTGTTTAGATAATATTGTCTAATCATTTGGATAAATTGTTCTTTATCAACTCATCACACCCATTAAACAATTGAAACGTCAGTTTAGATAATTATAAACGAAATTTATTTTTAAAAAAAACGAAGATGTTATATCTGTAAACATGTTTTCTCTGCTTTATTTTTCTTATTCAATCAAAGCATAATAGTAAGATTTGATTAAAAAAGATAATATTCACTTACATGAGAATATAATGGCACCCAAGATATAATTTATAGCATTAAATCAATTGAGTCAAGTCTGGCAAAGAGCATGTAAAACTTGCATCATTGACCTACAAACCTTTATTTTCTAGACATGTCATAATTAATATTGGACAATGTCAATCTATATTAAAACAATATGTGTCAAGTCACGAATAAAATTTCAAAACCTAATACAAGTATAAGACTACTACAACTCATGAAGTTTTTAATACAAGTATAAGATTAAATTATAAAATAAAAATAAAAAAAATACCCGTAAGTCATAAGCTCATGGCCGAATTTTGTTATAGGCAAAAGATAATTTATAGATATAAAAGTGACGGTTAACAGCATATTTCCTCTTGATCTTTGGAGAAAGCTTTACCATTAATACTTTATCAACATAGAGTGTAGCATTGGGATGGGATGTAGTATTTTTAGTCTGGAACGAACTTACAGTTAGTGAAGATAATTTATTTAAAATAATAATAAAAAATTATATATCTATATGTGTGTGTGTAAATTAAGACATAAATATTATATAAAAATACTTATTAAAAATTAAAAGTGAATTAAAAAAAGACCAAAATAGAAGAAATAAATCAACAAAAAGAGTAAATTACAATTGTTGGGCCTCGTGTACTTTATGCTTTCCTTTTTTGATGTCGGCTTTATGGCAAGTCCGTATCTCTATTAAAATGGGCAAAAAAAATTTTATTTTTAAATTTTTACATGGTCCAATAATCAAATATCAGTTTGACCCTTTTTTTTAGCTCCATAAATGTCGATTAAACCCTTGAAAAGCTGTATTCAATCAGGCCTTGATCTCATACAAGAAAAAAAGGCCTCGAGAGAAAGAGGATGAGGTATCAAATATTTAGTATTCAATGCTCGAGATGCATTTTTCCACGAAGCTTTGAAGCAAGGGAAGAACAAGCCACGAGAAGTAGGGTTCAACCTATAAGTTTGTTGGCAAATTAACACCAGGTTGAATGGTGAATTGTTCGAGTTATTTGATGGCATTAGGATTGGGCTTATAGTGAATTATTCGAGTTATTTGTTAAGTAAAACGAATTTAAATTTCATTACTGTTATTGTAAATAATTTTTTGCAATTTCGTGTGTAATGGTCAAACTTTTTATAAAGCAAATAAACTCCGTTATTAATAAAATATTACTGATTAATATTTACATGTATAAACTTTAAAATATTAATATATAATAGAATGTGAATTTATTTTCTTATTCATAATTGAAATTATTTATTGTACTCTTGTTTACATTATAAGAGTCAAATTTTATATTAATTGTTTGGGCATTTGTTATTATGAAAATTTTCAATTTTTTAAGAATTTGAAGTTGAGAATGTTAATTTATAATGTGATTTATTATTTAAGAAATACTATTACTTAGAAACATTTCTTAAGAATATTTTTTCTTCTTTTGTTCCTTATAATAAACTATAATTATGAAAGAAACAATAGTTTTTTTTATAAGATACTTTATAATTTTTATAAGCATTGATTTTATTTTTTATTATAGCTGGATAGCATGAGAATAAGTTTCTTATAGTTGGATAGAATAAGTTTCTTATAGTGGGACAATGAAAAGAAAATTTGATAAATAAATGTTCTCTCACCTTTTGAACTCTTCAATTGTCATTTATTATCAATTATATTAGCACTGGTATATAAACATTGATTTAAAGTAATACCTACACGTCTCATGAAAATTTTAATAATATGTAAAAAAAGTAAAATTGGTATATCATAGTTTTGTTTTATAAACTCAATAAAATCAACTAACATAACTATTTATACTAATATATGTAATGAAGTTTAAAGCGTTTTACAATAAAAACGAAAGAAAGTACATAATTTTTTACTAAATTATTTCTATAGAAAGATGAGAATCTTAAGTTTTTTTTAAATAAAAAGGAAAATTTTACTCCATTAATATTTCACTCTCTTTATTTGCTAATTTAATAAAATAAAAATATTTTATCGTCAAATAGCACGTATAAATAATTTTAAAAATATTTATCATCGACTAAAATATTCCTTATAATCATAATTTTTATGATTCTTAATTCTAAAAAGATTATAATACGATTTTACTGGAAAGCAACTCATCTTTCATGAGAACAATTCTTGTTGGATATAAACAATTTATGAGTTTCACATATTTTTAATGATGCGTAATATATTAAGCACAAATAAAAAAGTAAGGTTCCTTCAAAATACTTTTAAAAGCTTAGTCACCAAGTATATTGACTTGACTACCTGAAGCTTTCTTCCTCTGTCGATAAGTTGTTTTTTTGCTTCTTAAAAGAATGGTTCTATGTTGGTTTCGAAATTAGTCTAAATTTCTAATAATATTAATGATGGAGAGTGAAAATTTTAAGAAATGGATCCCAATAGGTAATTGAATATATCTTAACTCTTTGAGAAGTCTACTATCATATGAGAGGGTAAAGTAGAGAGGTGGGATGATTAAAGTTTATTAAATCACAGTCATGAATGGAGCTATTAAGTGCTGCTATAAAAAAAAGGGGGGGGGGGGGGGTCTTAATAAAGAGAGAATATACCACTCCAAATGAAAGGGAGAGTCTTTTAATGGAGGGAGTTTTCTCATGTTTATTAAAATAATTATAATTTTATTTGAAATGATGAATATTTGTGGCATAGACGTAGACAAGAAATGTTGAGCAAGCTATATTTGTGTCCTTGGCTATTTTTGTATAGGGTGTAACTTGGTGTTTTTATCCTTTGATTTTCATTGATGCGTGGAAGGGACTTTGTTTTTTTTCGGACACATTCGAGTGATTTAGTTTAGACCATTATAGTTGTTTGATTTTTTTGAAATGAGCATTGTTACAGCTGCCGAAAATAGAAACGAAAACGTTCTGAATGATTGAAAAATTATTATTTTTTAATAAATTTATTATAAAATTATTATTTTTTAATAAATTTATTAAAAAATAATAAATTTTCAATTATTTGGATAATTTTTTGGCTCGGTTTCGGAGGATACATTATTTTCCTTTTGAAATATTTGCATGTCAGTGGTTAAGGTGAGGGTCTACGTGTTGAACGAAGCTCTCAAGAGCATGTACAATGTTCAGAAAAAGACTAAAGTGTCAAGTCATGATTAATTGGGCATCTTCCAAAGTCTTCATCAGTTATTGAATTCCTTTTAAGTGGTGCGGATGGACGGTATACAGCGTAAATATCCAATTTGATCTTTAAAAATGATAAAGGTGGTTGATAATTTCATAAAAGATTTTCTTTTATGAAATTTGACTCTTTAAATTTTAATTTTGTTGTACAAGTTAGTCTTGTTATATTTAATTATTAACATTGTTAATATTATAATTAGTTAATAGTTAATTATCATATTAATATTTTTTTTTCCAGTTGATATATAACGGTTATAAATTAAGGTTTAGGGTTTAGATACATAGTTACATAAAATTTAATTTTTAATTTAATTTAAAAATGATTGAATTGACGTTTAAATAACGTAGTTCTTCCCATTTAGTCTAATTATTGTATTTTATTTTACTCGCGAAACTAATATATGTGAAACGGAAAACTCATTTTTATAGGATAAGAATTTGAGACATTATTAAAGATGAATGCTAGCTAACAATGTTAGAGTAATAGAGGATAAGTGAAAAAGGAAAAATTTATCTAGGTTTCTAATTATTCGTGAAACCCTCGACAAAATTCATCGAAACAGAAAAGATCATTATCACTAAACTTTTCTTCACTTCTACCAAGAGTTTTGAATTTTATTAAACATAGTAAAAATATTCATATTTGAATTACACATTTTAGCTTGAGATCTTTCAAAACAATTGTTCATTTTACTAAATTCCAAATTCAATAATTTAGGATTAACAATCTTAAACATATAACCAAAATAAACAAAGAAATTAATAATGACTAAAATAGAAAAATTTAACTATAAAAAATTCCAACAAAACCTAATAACAACCTTCTATTTTAACTAGATCAAAAAACTTAAATGAGACTTTTTAAAATTAATAATAATATATTTTAATAAAAAATAAAAATATTTTTTGAAAGCATAATTATATTTGTATATCTTTTAGAGATAAAAATTTTTAAGTAAATTTTTAATAACGTAAAAAGTGGCTTTTTTTAGTTAAGGAATCTTTAAAAATTATATAAATGTTAATATAAAATGTTTCTTTTGAATATGGCCGACCCATAAATTCCATGCGTTTCGCAGCTTAAGACGGTCAAAGACGAAATAACATACCCACAACTCTTCCTATTCAAGCTAGAGTCGCACATCATTGAAGAAAGCCCCTAAAATCGTTGTTGCCAAACATACATTGGAACCAGTATTTCGATTGAAAAAACTGTGCTAAATAACTTTGAATAGCAAGCAGCATTATCATCTTTCAGTTCCCTCAGGGGCATCCCAAAAAAAACGCAGAATAGTTATTATCCTCCAAAGCAGGTTGATTCAGATCATAATAGAGTCGGCGGAAACAGATGATGAGGCAAATGTACACATATACTTGCAGGTACTCTATACACACCGAATTCTCAAAAATGTACAGGTAAAATCTCAGGTGAGCATATGCATATTGATTGAAATTTGAAGCTAAAAAACTGATGCGAAACAATCTTACAACCAAAAAACCCAGATTGGAACACTATTGATTTTCACGATGGCTGTCATCATTCAACTCTAGATCGTTCTTGCAGTTCTCTCTCAAATCTTTTAGTGTTCCAAAGCTTGATTCCTGAAAGCAAAATCAAATCATTAAATGCGTTGGGGGGGAAAATTAACATAGCATTCAATCAAATCATTCAAACTGAGAAGTAAACCTTCACGAGTCACAACATAGCATAGCAATAACTAAATAGATATTGCCAAAAATATTAACAAATGGCTATTACAGAAGCTGACTATACTAAAAATAGTTGAGCCCAAAAAGAAAATAAAGAATGAGAAAAACAATAAATTGGCCAATCAAGCTAACTAGAAAATGAGGAAGATATATAACATTGTGTGATACATGTCCCATGTATAGAACTTATTAATAACTAACGATTAACAAATTAGCCAATCAAGCTAACTAGCACTCTAAACCTCGAACGCTGGCCACCATATGCAACAAAAAGTTAAAATTTAGATAGCCGAAAGATCCAGATCAGCATGCACTCTCCATAAAAGAAAATGGATAGTGCAAAAACAAAGAAAATTCAATTCAGAAACAGAAATGGCGATGGAAGTTAACATTTCCAGTAGGACCGAAATACAAAGTCTAGGCAAGTGATAGCATTGAAACTCACAAGCTGGCTACTTTCTTGAGCATAAATATTTTGCATTTGAACAAAGAGAGACTTCCACTGATTCACAAGGGACAATTCTAACTTTGATGACTCCTCACTTTGGTGCTGGCCACGCACGACCGTATCCTCTAATCCAGAAATTTTCTGAATGATCGTTTTCACTTCTTTCTGACTCTTCTTTATAGCTAGCAAAAAGGAAGAGCGCTTTTAAAAAAAAAATGAAGCTAAGTGGCAGCAGAAAAATACTATGATACTAGAATGTAGCAAGACAAAAACCATAAAATCATCTGTAGAAGTAGAACTTACCACTTAACCTTCCCTTGGCATCCTGGTAATGGAGATCCGACCAGATATAAGCAGCTAGTGACCAACATAAGCAACACCCATTTATTACATGCTAAGAGAAAACACAAATTTCCCATAACAAAAAGAAAGAAAGAAAAAGCTTAGATACAACTACTTAAGTATTACTGATATTGTTTTTCAATCAGAATTTAAAGTTTCACCTCAATAATCTTGATCTTTGATGCAAATCTTTATTATGGTAAAATTTGGATAGAAGAATAGTACTTATAGAATTGCATTTAAGTTCTGTGAATAACATTATAACAAAAATGCAACAATTAAACGTGTACCCACCTTTGGAGCAAAAGTTACAAGTGCAAGATTTGATATCCACAGCATCAGTAGCGGAATTCGCACCACCGTCACCCTTATGTACCGAGCACGGTTTCAGTCCTAGAAATTGAGAATCATGAGAGGCAGAGATTGTTGGCATTTGCACTGTCCCACACTTGGGTGATCCCAAATTATCAACAGCACAAACATCTTTGTCGCCACTTTCAACAGCACGATCAGTTGGGACTATTTCTTCACCATTCTCTCCAAATTTAAAATTCTCCAATAACAAGGCATTCTGCTCCTCCCTTCCCTCGTTGGGTTTCTGAGAAGCATCATCGCAAAACGGCAACAAAATTGGGCGTTTTTCTTTCGCTTGTAACGAGACAGTGTCCTCGTTGTTAAGGTGAGCCGGTGCTCCGAATTGCAATTGGCTCTTGTTTTTAGCTAAACTTTCTACCCCAAAGCACGTTTGCTTTGCGAACAGCGAGGCCCCACCGTCGTCGCCGGAAACTAAAGAAAACGGCCTTTTCGCCGGACGATTCGTGACGTCGGCCAGATGGGGACGGGGTTTGAACATCCCATCTTTGCTTCCCATGGAAAATTTGATTTTGCAAATGTTTAACTGAATCGGAAAAATGTTAATCAGAAAACAAAAAGGAATCGGCGAATTTGCGGATTTGAAACCCTAAGTTCACCGGCTTCGGATGTAGCAATTATTAGTAGGCGGAATAAAGGAACGAAAATAAGCAGAAATAATATAGAGAAGAAAAAAGAAATGGTTAAGATGAATTGACCTTATGGATTTGGGAGAGTGAGTGAATGAGTTGTGAAAGAGCAGGAGGAAAGAATGAAGGGCGGGTAAAAGCGGGTTTTCAACTTTGAATTGTGAGCCTTTCGAAAAATACGGCGCGGCAAATGGCAATCTCAGCTCCAGGCCCACATCGGCCCAATTCGACAGGCGCGGCGCAGGAGGGCTATATCTGCTACTGGTAACCACGTGACTCTGTCAACCTTTTCATTTTCTCATTCTTATTTATTCTAATTATAAAAATAATCTATAATTTATAAAATTTTTAACTTATTAGGATCTACCTGCTAACAAGGTTTAAGATAAAATGAATATAATTTTAGGTATAAATCACGAAATTATCATTATAATTTTGATGAATAAAATATATTATTAAATTTTTAATTTTTTATATTTATATTTTTATTAATTTATTTGAAATCTTTTTTTATCTCTTTAATTAATAATAATAAATAAATATTTTTTTTATTTTAAAATAACCCTGTTATAAAATATTTAAATATTAAGAAAAATATTTTCTATGGTGTATAAGTGTACTCTTTTGGTCTCGTGATAAGTATCATGTTAAACAAAAAAAGTTTCAAATAGTTGTGTTAATTTTTTAATGTAGTTTTAATTATCTTTTTTGCATTTATACATCTCATAACAATATTTGAAAAATAGTTGTTGTATTGCATCATTTATAATTAAAAAAATTAATTATAAGATTAATTTTATAAAATAAAAAAAAATTTATCTATTCTATCAAACCTATAAGGTTTCTATATACAGATTAAGGAATACAATAAATGTATAACTTTTTTATATAATTTTATTAAGATAACTCACTCTGCAAATAAATGCATTATTTTTAATTGTGGTGGTTAAATAATTTATTAAAGGATAAAATAAGAAAAAAATTAATTAATATTATATTAAAAAGTAAAATCATAATTCTTTTTGGGACATTTTTCAAAAAACAAAACTTAGATACAAATTTTTAGGTATGATTGATGTTGTTCTTCAATCAAAATTAGAGTTTTATGAAGTTTTAATTGAATATAAATACTTATTACCCATGTATGTTGATCATTTTGGCAAATGTATCAAATCACGTGTAATGTTTTTGAGATAAGATTTTCTCTCAAATAAACTTATGCAATATATGACAATTATAATTCAATACATTATACTATAGCTCAACCGAATAAAATTTTAGTTTGTTGATGTTGGTTTTTGCATAAATAAACTTAAACACAATAAAGCGATGCAATTAAATGTAAAAATGTTTTTGGAAATTTTATCAAATAGTTGACACCAAAATATTAAGAGAATTTAATGGAAAGGACCATTGAGATTGAATTTTACTAGTTCACCATTATGTATTAGTTTAATAAAGGGTTTTCAATAATATTTTACACCATTACTCAACATTATCAATGGAATCTCCAAACTGTTGTCCCTTAGTAGCTTGAAATCATGTATTTCACCCAAATCACCCATCATTCAACTAAATTGAGAGAAATATAAGTATCATAAGCATGGATATATATAAAATGTCCATTGAACTCATTTTTGTCCTTAAACAAAATATTCAATGGGTCTCTCTTGGCTCGTACATAACTCAAGAAGCATTTCTCAATGACTATTTAAGTAAAATCATAAACTCAAGGTAATAATAATCAATAGAGCATTAAGAGAAAAACAAAACACTAAATAATGGAATAAAAACATCGATCAATGAAGCAAAGTTAATAGATGAGGTTCATCTAGTTATACTTAATTCCAATGAAAGAAAAACTAGCTACTCATAGTCATGGGAAACACAAAAATTGAAGAAGAAATGGCAAAGATGAAGAACTGAAGCTCTAGGATTCTTCCGGTCATTAGGGGTCTTGCCAACAATGTATTCAATGATGTTCTCAAATCCCCCAGTTTGTCTAAAAAAGAATCTTCTCTTTGTCTCAAATATCCAACTGTCCACTAATTTCCACTCAAATACCACAATGTCTCGCTGAGTGAGGAAACATCTCATTTGCTTATAAGGGTTTCTCACTTAACGTCTATGTCTCGCTCAACAAGAGAAAACTTCTATGACTTTGTTTTCCCATTTGACAATTTCACTCAACGACTAGATTGACTCACAAAGCAAAAATTCAAGTGAGTCACTCCTTTTCTTTTTATTGATCATTAAGTGTTGGAGCCCACCACGTTCTTCATTCTCATTTTTCTACAAAAAGAGTTTCACTCATGATATTTTGTCTAGAACTTCTAAGGGTTTACAAGAACTGCAAAACCAACTAATTCATGCTAAAAAAGGTTGACATTACTATAAATAAGGGAAAAGAAAGATAATTGTTGTGATTTACACACTTCAGGTTAAGTAAATCACTCAATTATCAAGATAAAACTTTAAATTTAATTAGAGAATAACACTAATCATAAGAATTATAACTAAATATTGTCCTTTTCTAAATTTTAAAATTGTTGTCATTATACGACGAAAGAGGTACCTATTAGTTTTTTTTTCTTGTATGTATAAAATAATGTAGGAGTTTAGTTATTTTGTGACAAAAAGAAGTACCATTTATATTAATAATTATGAGATATTATATGAAACATCATCACTACCATTATCACCATCATTGACACTCGCCAATGGTGGAGGCAACAATGATGATACAATGACGATGGTAATGATAATGATGATTCAAATAGCACTAATGTCAACAACAACAATAAAGGCAATTGTGATGGTGGTAATATGCGGTAACTTAATTTATAATTTTTTAATTTAAGTTATTTATTATAATTTTAGGGTTGAAATTAAGTATTATCATTCTTAGATAAAAATGACTTCTCATAATACATAATTTTCCCTCTTTCACACACGTGTACGCAAACACATATATATTGTCATGGTAATATTATTAATAAAAATTTTATAATTTTTCACAAGAATGACTTTTATAATGAAAATAAATTAAAATATTTGTCATCCATTCTTAAAAATACGATCAAATGAATATTTAATATTTTTAATTAATATTTCACAATTTTTTTAGATTGTACTTCCATCTTTATTCAAGACACGAGTTTAACTTGTAATAGTATATATGTAATAGTATTTTTATATTGCAGAAGTTATCGTTTTGAAAAATTTTCAATTAAAGTAGCAAACAAATTTTCATCTTTAGTATTACTAGTTAAAAATACAATAACTTGAAATATATTGTTCAAATTTAAGAACTTGAAAAAGACGTTAACTTATGATAAGTTCTATACAAATAAATATCATTTAAGAGGGCATAAAACTAAATTAATTACTTATTAAAAGAAAAATTAAATAAATTTTAAATTTGTTTTACAATATATTCAAATTTTATCATTTATGTTATTCTTTTTATTAATTTATTATGTTTTAAAATTGATTATTTTTTAGATCTAATGATATATATTTTTTACATGTCAAATTTAATTTACAAAATCTCATTTATAATTTTTGAAAATTTCAAAAGTCATTATTTATTTCTATAAATTTGAGATATTTTTTTTCTAAGACCGGTCAGCATGTTTTATATTATTATCGATTACTTGTATAAAAAGTGAATCAAAAGAAAGACGCTGGAAGGCGCGCCGGAAAAATGATCTGACAAATTTGGAGCCTATCCACAGCCGCCACGAGTGATCAAATCCACATTATGAAAACGACCCTTAGCAATGCCGTATCGCCAACACCAAACTCCCCCTTATATCAACCACAACACCGACTTCCTTTGCTTCCACTCTAATTCGGAAAAAAAAAATGCAAACTCCAAACTCCAAATCCAATGCGGAATCGGCCTCGGAAGCCGAGAGGCGAATCCGGAGGCTGAGTCTGCACCTAAGCCCCGTGGTGGGCGTGGCGGCGAAGCAGTTGGAGATGGCAACTTGCGGTCGCGGGAAGCTGAGCGTGGACACGTCATCTCTGTCGAGTTACATGCGGGGGAAACACCGAGACGTTCAGGAGAAGGTGTTCGCTTACTTTAACGCGAATCCGCATCTTCAAACGCCCGTTGAGATCTCGAAGGACGAGCATCGCGACCTTTGCATGAAGCAGTTAATTGGACTTGTCAGAGAAGCAGGGATTCGACCCCTCCGTTACGTCGCCCACGAACCCTCCAAGTACTTCGCAATATTGGAAGCCGTTGGCAGCGTTGACATGTCGCTTGGTATCAAGATGGGAGTCCAGTATAGGTACCTAACCTATTAACTTTACCACTAAACATGAAACGAATAAACTTGACCATGTACACAAAAAAAATCTGAATTGGAATTTCACTTCAATAATGATAATAATAATATGCGTATTAAAGCATTTCATTGATTGCTCCAAGATCAGTATCAGTATAACACGTATATATCTAAGTTTTGTCCAAAATGAAATTGAAGGAAATAAAAAGCCTTAGACCCTTAAATTAATAAATGTCGCATTAAGTATTTGAAATATCAAATAACTTTCTAAGTTTAATTACTTACTGTCATTTTAGTCTCTGAATATATGTTAATGTATTATCATTTGAGTTACATGATTTTTTTTATTTTTGAATTTTTGATTAATATGATTGATTTGCAACATTCAGGATTTATTTGACATTTTATTAGTTTAAGGGATTAATATGATACTATCTTTTAATTTTAAGGACTAAACTGAGTATTTACTTTAACTGAATTTACTACTTTCTAATTTTCACATATGTTATGTTAACTACTTTTGTGGTGTTCAGTCTTTGGGGTGGTTCTGTTATCAATTTGGGGACCAAGAAGCATCAGGATAAGTACTTTGATGGGATCGATAACTTGGACTACCCTGGTTGTTTTGCTATGACCGAGCTTCACCATGGTAATTTTTTTTCTTGTTACATGTTGAAGTTGTTGACTATTGTAATTGTATATTTCTTGGTTTTCATCTTATCCTTATTGATACTTGTAATTCGTAGTAAAGAAATGTATGCAGCAGGGTAGAGAGGCTTGATTGATTTGAGAAATTGTTTTCTACTTTTATGAAAAATTATAAAACTTGTTTACAAAGATTTATAGTACTGAAATTTAAGTAAGGGTTTGCAAGGAAAATGTGAAAAACCGGGGTTTTGTTGTTTTCTTGGATAAATCTCTAAACATAAATGATGCATGGGCACCTAGTGTAGTAGTGGTAATACACACACAGAGAGAGAGAGAGAGAGAGAATTATAAATGTGATAGTACTATTATGTGAGAAGAGAGAAATAGAGAAAAAATGAGAGGTGTCAATGAAGTGTTTACACTGTAACAGGTGTTCATACTAAAACGTCATATCAAACCAAACGGTAAATGTAAGATATTGCCATCAGAAATACTAACAGCAGTTTCCATTGATGTTCAATTTCCAGCGAAGTAACTGAAGTCTATAACCAACAACTTGCTTCCTTTATTAGATTGTTTTCCATTCCCAACTTACCCCCGAGTTTGGGGGTTTTGAGAGTCTTTTTTTCCTGGGATTTTTATCTCGTGTCTTCCACTCAAACATGCTCCCACATAGCATTTCCCCAGCTGCACATTTCTAAACTGATTTTTTTTTTCTTTGTGCCTAAAAGGTTCAAATGTGCAGGGTCTCCAAACTGTAGCCACCTTTGATCCAATCACTGATGAATTTATCATTGATACACCAAATGATGGTGCCATCAAATGGTGGATTGGCAATGCTGCAGTGCATGGAAAGTTTGCCACAGTTTTTGCTAGGTTGAAATTACCCACTTATGACACAAAAGGAGTTTCTGATATGGGTGTCCATGCTTTCATAGTTCCAATAAGGGATATGGAGACCCATCAACCACTTCCTGGAATTGAGATACATGATTGTGGTCATAAAGTTGGCCTCAATGGTGTGGATAATGGAGCATTGAGATTCCGCTCTGTTAGAATTCCTAGAGACAATCTTCTAAACCGTTTCGGAGATGTCTCCCGTGATGGAAAGTACACAAGTAGCCTTCCTACAGTAAATAAGCGATTTGCTGCTACTCTAGGGGAACTTGTTGGTGGTAGGGTTGGCCTTGCATATTCTTCAGTGAGTGTCCTGAAGGTTGCTTCCACAATTGCCATCAGATATTCTCTACTTCGCCAGCAATTTGGACCTCCAAACCAACCCGAAGTCAGTATTCTTGACTACCAGTCTCAACAGCATAAGCTTATGCCAATGCTGGCTTCAACTTATGCTTTTCATTTTGCAACCACAAATTTAGTGGAGAAATACTCTCAAATGAAAAAAAGTCACGACGAAGAATTAGTTGCAGATGTCCATGCTCTTTCAGCAGGTCTAAAGGCTTATGTAACAGCGTATACTGCAAAGTCACTCAGCATCTGTAGGGAAGCTTGTGGAGGCCATGGTTATGCTGCGGTAAATCGATTTGGTATTTTGAGGAATGATCATGACATTTTTCAGACATTTGAAGGAGACAACACAGTTCTGCTTCAACAGGTTTTTTTGCAAAAGTCCAATTATATCCCTTCTCATATAATAACCAATCTACCTTTATAACCAGGCTGTTGGTAGGTTTTAATCAGATAACCATGATGATATAGGAAAGAAGGGCCTCAGAATTCAATTGTTTAAAAATCTGTCTGTGTTCTCTGCTTCCCTTATAAAAAATATGTTTGCATTCTTCTGAGCCATGGAGTAGCTACTACTGTTTTGGTTCAAAATACTTTGGTTTGAAATACTGTTTGCTAAAGTAGCTAGCGACTGTCTGCAACTGGTTAGCTGTTACTTTGGTTCAAAATACTTCTTTAACCTTGTTCTGTCATTTGCATTTTTCTGATATTAACTTTAAGTAAAGCTTCTTTAGATCTTGCTTTTGTTAGTCTACAAATGAAATGGCAAAGTATTCTGTTAAAAGAATCCATTAAATTATTTGATGGCTGGTGCACTGATATTTTAGCATCCTCGCTTTCATAGAGATAAGACAATGTTGAATCATGGAAAACCAAACCCTTCCCTTGTTTGATGTCAACTGTAGCTTTACTGCTTTTTAGTCTATGCATAATTGTTTTGTTTGGTATTATTATTATTCTTGTAATGGAAGCAAGTTAAGTAATAGGTTTGGATTTTTTCCTTTACAAATGAAGGTTGCTGCCGATCTTTTGAAACAATACAAGGGGAAGTTCAAAGGAGGAGCTTTTGCAGTGACATGGAGCTACTTGAGAGAATCCATGAATACTTATCTGTCACAGCCAAATCCGGTTACTGCTCGATGGGAAGGTGAAGACCATTTACGAGATCCTAAATTTCAACTGGATGCCTTCAGAGTAAGTTTTATCTTTATTCCTTGACTAATGACTAAAAATAATATATGCTGACATGAATAAATCAACAATTTATTCTGATTTTCACTCTACAGTACCGAACGTCTAGATTACTTCAAAGTGTTGCTGTACGACTTCAAAAGCATTCTAAATCTCTTGGGGACTTTGGTGCATGGAATAGATGTTTAAACCACCTTTTGACACTTGCAGAGTCACATATTGAGTCAGTCATCCTTGCTAAATTCATTGAAGCCGTGGAGAGGTGCTTCGTAGTTCTTAGTATTTGTACATCTTTATTTGCATAATTTTAAAATTTTATCCAATTTTAACTTGACCTATCTATGCATCAGCTGTCCCGACCCAAGCTCACAAGCTGCTCTGAAACTCGTCTGTGATCTTTATGCTCTGGATCGAATATGGAATGACATTGGAACCTACCGAAATGTTGACTATGTGGCTCCTAATAAAGCTAAGGTAAAGAAATTAATGCACAAGTGAATACAAAAAATTAATGAGCTGTTTCTAGCTTTCCTAACACCTCACAGAAATCTTTAATTACCAATGGGTTAACAACTACCACAAGGGACCGATCTAAAAAAGCCAAGAATAGCTAGTAAAAACCAGGACGAGATAATAGGTCTGCGACGGACAATTATGATGGATTTCATAAAAGTTTTGGACCTTAGGTAAATGAAGTTTTTATCCAAGGGACAATGTCACTCATTATTTAGCTACGTAAGCATATTCTTTACACTATTTATTCCTCTCGACAAAACGTATTGATTATGAGCATGAGTTGGCTTTTGAAAATATTGGTTTTGGCAATCACTTTTTAGTTGTAAGAAGAAAACAGTAGTACCGAGTTTGTCTGAGATGAGGATGCATAATTGGATAAGCTTGGATCTTTCTTTTTTATGCATTATTATAATCTTTTCATTATTGAATATTGAAAATTTTCGATTTGACAGGCAATCCACAAGCTCACGGAGTATCTTAGTTTCCAAGTGAGGAATATTGCAAGGGAACTTGTTGATGCATTTGATCTTCCGGATCATGTTACACGTGCCCCTATTGCCATGCGGTCACAAGCTTACTCACAATACACACAATATGTGGGATTTTAATAAAAGGGGTCGCAAGGAAAATTGATATGTATTCGGGGGAATTAACCTGAGAGATTATTCTCTTAGTTCTGTTAAAATTGCAGTATACGAGGTTGCACCTGTCCGAAAAAATCACACTCGGCCAGAACCATAAATGAATAATGATGTAATTATGTTTCAGTTTTAAGATTATTGGTGGAAAAGAAAAATAGTTTGTGTGAAAATATATCATGTATACCAAGTTTTTTTTTTTTTTTTTTGAAGCCACGAGGTATTCTTTAACATTGATCGGAAACTATATGCTCAGCTTCGGCATATAAAGGAATAATAGTATTAATTTCGTGGCAGCAGTTTATTACATATATTATTTTCTTGCAATGAAATCTAACATTGGCCACAAAAGTAATTAGAAAATAATCAATTAGCCTTTGCTGCTCTCAAGGTTGTAAAACTCTGGAGTTTACATAAAATCGAGAAGCTTCTCTAGATTAAATACAATAATAATTCAATATTTCAACTTTATTATCGAGTAAGATTAAATTACATTAATAATCAAATTATATATAGACTTATAAAATATAAGTTCTTAAAATGAAAATATTTCAAGAGTTAGATTTCTTTAAATCATAATAAAACTCTTATGTATGGATTTAACTTCAAATTTGTTAACCTACTTAACCTAAGAGCTTACAAGAGTTCACGCGAATTTCAAGAATTTGTTCGACTTTATCCAAAACAATTTCAGAGTTAACTTGTTTTCTCTATCTAAGATTTAAGAGTAGTTTACAAGTTAACGCTAGAGAACCTTGGATGCTGTCGTGCCAATGGACACTGTTTTAACGCCCACATATACGTTCAGAAAACTAAAAATGGTTGACAGTGACATTGTCTCCAACAAACCACCAGTGAAGTAAGATTATACTAACAAAGTAAGACGGTCTTTGCTAGTCATCACATAACACATCCATTTACTGACACCACATTTTTCATCTTATAAATTTCTTTTTCCACCAAGGACCACGACCATGTGTTTGTAGTTTTTTTTTGGGGGTGGGGTGGGGGTGTTTCACAAATAAATCAACGCCAAGCATGCACAACAGAAATTTCATATACTCGAAGATTAAAAATTTTCACCCCTGATAGTTCTGCAATTATGATACGCAGTTCGAGCTGCTTCACTTTTTTGCTTGATATCTTCATACATCTTCAATGAAGCTTCAGAAAATTTGGTCAGTCGATCAAGAACCTTTGTTAACCTTGCATGTATGCAGCTCAAATTCGTGGATTCGTCATCTTCATTGTCTTCATTAGTTTTACTCTCAGTTTCAGCAGTACTTTCATTGACAGAATTCTGTTTCTTGAGAAGATGGTCATTCTGCTGCTCCGTCCGCAGGTGAAGATCAGACAAAAAGTTTTTGATTGCCTGACTTAATTCCTCAGAGGGTAAAGCTTTGATCCCAGCAGACCAGTCACGGCAAAGAACAAATATAGGCGGTGCCAGAACTCGGCGCGGGGAGAATGGCCTTCTGCTCTTGGAACGCTCCCTTGGTTGCAGTATACAGTTTTGCAGCCACGCGTTGAGAGCTTCCACATATGATGTGAGGCTGTTCATCCAGTTAGCAAAACTCAGACCAAAGAACTCAACTTCTTCTAGCAGCCGATTCATTATCTCTCGGCACCCATCTCCCTGTGAGGCTCCTGTTGAGCTCCTTGAATGATATGCCAAGGAGATGGTGATGTACTGTGCATGATGACATTCAAGCATAGCCTTCCACATCCGGATCAATCTGCACAACCAATAGTTCCATTAGTCAATAGTAGTAATAGGTTTATAGCTTTGACACTCAACTAGGAAGGAATAGTTGTAAAGCTTCAAGGTAACAAGAACAAAAATATAAAACCCAGAATCCCTCACTTACCCTTCTGTTAATTCCAGAAGTTGTGGGAGCAACTCTTCATCCCTCATTCTCTCAATTCTTTTAGATATTGAATCGACGGAATATATAGCCACTCTTAACCGTGAATGCAGATCCTTCACAACTGATCGGGTCTTGTCAATCACATGAGTGCCTTGATCTTTTGCAAATTGATGCCTAAGCTGGTGACATTTTCGATCATAGTCCTTCCTGATGGATTCACTAGCCTACAGATAGCCCAATAGACGGTCAAAAGGATCAAGGATTGAAAACACAAAGTTGGAGATGCAAATGCAATACATTTAACCATACAAATTGATAATAAAAGAATACCTTGAGTCCCTTCTAAAGGAATTAAAATTGGAGAGAACGGAATAATTGCATATTATAGGTAGATATTTTTGACTTTTAAGTTTTTCTTTTCCATAAGTAACAGTTATTTGTGTCCTGTGCCCATCCGTTCAAGTAACTTAAGAGGTATCACTTACTTTAAATTATTATTGACAAATTGCATGAAAGCCTCCAGAGCTTGAATTAAAGTATAGAGGTATTGAAGGTAAATTCCACTAAGATTTGATCAAAATGGAGTGTGCAGTAAATCAATGCAAGAAAAGTTTAGTCAACCTCATTTTATTTTTTACTCCAGATTCCCTATGAATAATGAATGAAAAAATAAAGCCTGAAACTACTTCTTTAGTATCAAGTATTCTCTACAACACCGTAAGATAGATAACAAATTAGCCTTAATGCAAATAAGCACTACAAATGAACACAGTTGGTTGTGCATTTTCAAAGTCGATAAGGCATTGGTTGCCCAAGGAATAATAGTTTTTCATACATCTTATACCCATTCAAGATTTATGATTTCAATGTGGCAACTACTATAGGAAAATGTCCAACGAACTCAGATCGTGATTGACTGGATATTCTGAACATAATAGATATCAATGGCTTAATATGTAAATTAGCATACTCAGATATCAGGCAATGACAGGTTCATTCATTTAAAACATGGTTTAATTTAAATACTTCAATGTTTTCATCATAAACCCTTTACTTTTTTAATTTAAATGCTAATTGAGATACCTTTACTTCATCGTAGAGTTTTCGTTCCCATGCATATAGTCTGTCAAGGGTGGATGAATGGCTTCCAGCAATCATACAGGACTCTTCAACAAAGTCACTTCCACTGTCGTCAATATTTTCCTTTGTTTTTGCCGCCAAAGCATTCCTGGATGAGGATGATCGAGAAGATGTTGTCCTTTTCCAACTAATAATTTTTTGAGCAGGTTCTGCACAAAAAGGTGACAAATTAGTCCATCCTAAATATTCATCTTTCAAGAAACATAGCTTTGATCAGCAAACAAAATAGTGACCTCGTAGTTGAATGTTAGAGAGTAAAGACTAACCAAGAAAAAAAGTTTAGAAATATTGACACCCCGTAGCTCTAGCTAAAGAACTTACAGGTAGACCAAACTACATCAAATACAAAACAACAACATATACCTCTATATTTCCAAACTCATTACACCGTAAAAGCTTATGTCCGCATAGCTCACCTTTACTGTACTGCTAACCATTATTTATTAACCAAACGAAAACTCCAACCTCATGATACCAGCTTAAAGTTTTAAGCTTGTGCCATGTCCAGAACAGTTTCATTTCATTTGTCAAAAAATGGAGAATCAAACAAGAGCTAATGAAATATTAGAAATCTTCAAGAGTAACAAGCCTAATTCAAAGAATCAAGGATGTAATATTTAATGGTAAATCTATCATTCAGATTAAATTAGTTAGTAACCAATGGCTATTTAAAGAATTCAAGCAACTTACCCTGGAAAACAGGTGAAGCCTTTCCACCACAACATACAGGCTGGAAAGTCGACAACAAAGCCATGGTAGAAGACTTTCCTATAAGTAGAAGTCAGAAGCAGATTAGTAGTAATGCTTGAAAAAAGACTAACCAGCTTTAAGTTGCGTTATTACATACAAAATTCACATGAAGTTTAGCATCTGGAAAAAAGAATCTGGTTTCAAGCAATTACCTTTTGCCTCAGAATATCCAACCTTGATTTTATTTGCCTCTAACAACCTCAAGACCTCCCTACCAGATTCAGAAGCTCGAACGAACCTATGCTCTATATCCTTTATGCTAGAGAGAAAATCTTTAGCTCTGTGAGTAATGTACTCTGAAGGATCCTCTCTTTCTGTGCACACATTCTTCCCAGCCATGTTCTTCTCCCTCTTTGAACTGGATCTTCCACCAACACCCTTTACATCACTTACAGCATTTGCCAACTCTAGTTCTCTCACTTCTCCATCAACCATTTGTTTGCCACCTTCAACTCCTCTAGAAAAAGTTGAGTGATCAACACAGTGTGCATAAGAATTGCCACACTCATTTCCCATTGCAGCACTACTGAAGTTTCCACCAAACTTCTCATCCAGGTTGGGCTGCATCATGCTATGCCCATCTGAACCAACATTGAACCACTGATCACCCTTTTCATCATCATTACACCCTCTGGACTCGCTACAATGCACTGCAAATCTGAAGCTCTCACTGTCCTCCCCAGGGTCAAAGAAGTCCCAAGATGCACCCGACTCATGAGGAGGTGGTGGAGGAGGAGGCATTGGAACCACCGTGGATTCATCCTCCAAATAGTTGTTGTTGCCATAAGCATTGATCTTAACAGTGACAGCAGAATTACCCCCTGATCTCATGTAACTAAGAGTGGTGGCCACAGGTGGCGAACGAGGACTCTCATTGTGAAAAGGTGACTCCGAAACCTCAACCTCAGCAACATGTGAAGGTGATGATGGAGAAGGGTAACTAGTTTGAGATGGGGTTTTGTCAGATATAGACAGAGATGACTCCATCACTACCTCAGCCTCAGCATACCTGCGGAGAGCAATGCCAACATTTCGAAGAGATTGAATGTACGAAACGTGTGCAGCAGCTAAAGCATATCTTGAATCAATAGCCACCTTGATGAACCGCTTTCTTTCCCTGCACAAACTCAAAGCCTCATTTTTTTCTGCTCTTGAGTTCGTAGCACCCATTTCCCCCCTTTTACAAAATTACATCCATTCACCAAGTATTCATAGAAAAGACTCTATTTTTATACCCCTCGCTCCACCCCATTACTGTTTCTTCAGAGCTTCACATTCACAAAATCACACACAACATCCCAAGAGGAAAGCTAAAATGTCATAAAACCTTAAAGTTGACAGCTGGAAAAGCAAAACCTCCTTGGTCAAAATGTGAACTTTATTGTGGAGAACAGAGCTACAGTAGCCACCCAAGTTGCATGGTGATGCAGTGAAAAATGAGAGACTTTAGGTTAGTAGGAAAGGGACAAGACCCTTTGTTAGAGCTAGGTAGGGAAAAGAAACACAATTGGTGGTGGTGAGTTATTGAGTTGGTATCACGGAGAACAAAGAGGGAAAGGGGAAGCAATAAGGGTAGGTAAACGCCATGAAATCAAAGGCATCAATAAGCGTAAAAGTGTGGTTATGATTTAAGAGTGTGTGTATGGAATGGCCTTGTTACAGAGATTCTGCGGCAATGAGCGTTGTGCAGAGATGGAAAAAAGGTGCAAAGAGAGAAACAAACAAAAAAAACGTGAACCGCTTCCAGTGATTCTGAAGCAGTTACTACTTACTTACTATACTGGTGAACCTCGTTTTGTGTGTTAGCTTTTACTTTTTTTCTCCGTTATGCAATATCCATCGTTGATAGCAGTGACTAATCTCCTCGCTAAGTTAGAAGTAGCTTAAAGAATGGGATAGTTGACTCCAAAATTTAACGGGACTGATGCAGGATTCGAACTTTCTTGCTTAAATCAACCCCACACGCTTGTGGTTAATTTTGTGTGTTAGCTTTGCTTTCCTTTACTTTTTCATTCATTGCATTGACACTGAGGAAGAAAAACAGTATATTTAATTAACTTCTAAAATTATAAATGTAAATCAATTTAGTTTATAAAATTATAAAAATATTATTTATTTTTAAAATAATTAATCACTCATTCTAAATTTCTAGTATTTTATTCTATAATTTATATACAAATTTTTATATATTAAAAACAAACATCTATAAATATTTTCTTAAAAAATTATCCAATGAATGGGCTATTAAATTTTTTTAATTCTTTAACTAATTCAAATTTTATTTATCATAATTATTTATGAATTAAATATATTATAATATAAATTATTTATTATAA